AAGTCTCCTAAAGAACTACAAAGTGGTAAGTAAAAAGTATTTTTCTTCGTCTAACAAAGTGGGACGGTGGCATGATAGACAAAATTTCTGTTATTCAAAGCTACTCTAAATGGTGCTGGGGCACAGATGACCTGCTAGGTAATCTTGATGTACAACAGCTGCTAGCTGCCTGGCGCTGGGCCCATTATAATATAGGTAGCCTGCTAGGCTAAACTATAACGTGGTATTATGGTTTACGCGTGATAGACAAAAACCGTTAGGTGTTTGATGTACAACAGCTGCCTGGCGCTGGGCCCATTATAATATATAGGCTAAACTATAACGTGGTATTACGGACAAAAGCTGTTAGATAATTTGTTTACGCGTGATAGACAAAAACCGTTAGGTGTTTGTTTATTCATAAGCCACATAGATTAGTACTAGGGCACGGAATAGTGTTCTGGCTGAAGAAGACTACTAATTACTTGATTTTCTAATTAATGTTATTAAAAGGAGCCAAGACCTGATTATAAAAAAGCAAGAAAGTTGAGTTGGGAATATCCTATTGACAAACAAACGATTAATATCAAAGACAACAATATTGATAATGAAAAATGTGTAAGTTATATTTTATTTTATAATCATATTATGTTGTATAATTAATGTCACAGATTATAATGAGATTAAATTATTAGTGGCTCGAGACAAACTGGGAATTTGAATGCCAAATTCCTGAATGGCTTAAACGAATTCATAAACATCGTGAAAAGATCTTGTTACCACAACCGACACGAGCAATTTAGAATTATTGTCCCAAGTAGCAGAAAAGTAAGCGAGTAAAATTTTTTTTTTTTTTTTTAATTATGACAAAATATCTGATTTGAAATCTTTCTAAGCTAGTCCCCTTTGGTGGCGTATTGTCGACATAGCTGATCCGAAATTAACCGAAATTATTACGGAATCAGAGTTTCTAGGTTTAAACGAAATATTTCTTTCTAACCTTCCGTCAGATTGGGAAATATTAGAGCCACCAGTTGAAAGATGCTTGTACTCGATTGCGATGGTTTGTAACTATACTAGAATACAGCGGACCCTGTGTTGCGAACTAGGAAAATTGATGTATAGATTTATTAGGCTAAAATCCGTGGCAGCTAGCAACCTCGATTTCACTGTCATATTATGTTTGCATTTTTATGTGATTTTTTTAGTTCATAAACTATTCCTGTAATGTCTTTCAGTTAGATAAGAGGATTACAAAAAGTGGCTAAAACCGTATTGCATTATGGTGTTTATGGTGCTATAATTAATATTCGGAAGATTTTGTCCACTCCTAATGAGACTGAAGATGAAAACCCCTTCCTTATCCCCCAACTACTGAAATCACAATGGCTAATTATGTTGTTCAAGAAGAAGATTTGGATCATCCAGACGTTTGTTATATTATTGAACTTCTTCGTTATACATAATTATAAGAGTTGCTACATGTAATTAGTACAATGAAATAACTGAAAACTTATATATATTTGTATATTTTATTACTAGGTATGAAATGATCAATAAGAAAATACCGCAACGAGAGAATTCTGAAAGGGATATTGATGTAGTTTTTAAGTCTCATATGTTTTCTTGTTTTGATAACATTATGGATTTACATTTGTAAGTTCAAACTGCTAATTTTGTGTAT